CAAGCGATGATCCGCTAGTATAGTATCGACCGCGGCCGTGCAAGGATCTGTTGTGTGGGAGCGCACAAAGATGTGATTAATGCAAGATTGTGTAGTTAAGTTTAATCTCCTTTCAATACGTGTATAATCGGTGAAACCACACTTCAGTCCTTGCTCCACCAGCAGATTTAAGTCCAGATTTAAAGGGTAATGCTACATTAGTACATATATACATATATAAACAACTCTCACAACAATCACTCGGAGGGGTAAACAAAGACTTCCATTTAGCACGATAATACACACTTCTCTCGCCTTATTTACGTTCATATACTCTACGCAAACATGCTCGTCGGTTGAGGGTACTCTTAATTTGGCTCATCTTTAACTAATATTATATACCCATATTAAAAAAATTATTAGTAGAATTAATACCGCATCACATTAAAATAGCACCGATTTGAAGAAAATAAGAAAAAACCTATTATGATCTAAAATGTGTATAACATGGAAAAACGTATGCAACATTACTGTGAAAGCTGGATAGCATACATAATTTTGTGTAGGTGCGACAAGGACGTAAGACCATGTCGAAAACGATTGTCAAACTATTATACTTCTATGGTATTTTTATTCACCTGTGGTCTATACTCTCTGTCAAGTGTCAAATCGCATGACGTACTAATTTTTATTCATTCCGCTGTTGGTTGAAATATTTGAGCACCTAGAAATGCTTTCAGTTGAACTAAGTTAGAAGGTTAAGGTAACGCTGCGTATCCCTCCCGCCACAGCCTTCCTGGGTACTTTTTTACCACCCAGAAATACTTGAGCACACTATATAGGATAACACAATAAGGAATCATACCATTTTGTATCTTTTAGCTTTTATTTAATGGGTTTGTGACTATAAAAATGTGACATCAATAACTTAATCATTAATTTAGTAGTTTTAATTTTTTAACAACTCCAAGTGATGGTCAACGGTCATTTGGAGGTGTTATTTGATATTAAATTCTACCTGACTCTATCCGTTTCTTGGAAAATATATCTTGACACACAGACAGAGTAGGGATTCTTTTCTTTTATTTTTCTATTTAGGTGTGAAACCCTATAAACAAAGAAATAACGTCGTTGTCGTTCTTATTAAAACAATTTTCAACAAATATTATTACAGAATAACTTCTATTTTTCTGATAAAAACAGCGCAAACCACATAAAAAAGTTATCGAAAAACGTTTAAATATTGATTTCTCATTCTCTGTACTGGATTGATGTTATGCAACTGACGCTTGACAAGGCATTAATCATCGATGTTAATGAACACAAATGTACGAGAACTAGCTTTTCGGATAGATGTAGTTCTGCCCTTATTGTTAGGAGGCAAGGTGAGTTTCAACTCTTGTTGCTATTGCTAATCTATATAATTAAATATTAATTCTATAACAAAATATTATGTATAAATGCTAAAAGCTACGTTAATTAAAAGTGCAATATTGGTATTACCGTGTGACACAAGTAAAGAAAAAACTCCCGCGATGAAATACGGAAAAACTGCAAGAAAAATGTACCAGTCCATGAAGTAGGAGGTTCTTCAAAGTAAACGAGGCGCAAATGGTGCGCCACCGTTTCACCTTCTATTTCTTCTTCTATTCCAAGTAAAGGCGTAGTGGCGGTGTAAAAGATGGTAAAATTAAAAAAAAATATTGTGCTACCGACTTCACCGAACTGACGGTATACCGTAGTATACAGGACATATCTGCGTAGGGCTCACAACTTTAGAGGATACAGGCGTGATGTTATGTTGTGTGGTTGGGTAATTAATGCATAAATATGCGATAGCAGCAATAGCGGTTGGTTTGCTGGCAATTATTGAAGAGTTAAGTTCCCTGTTTCCGAAACTCATCATCAGATATTTACGAACTTTAAATGGGACTATTTCGAAATACACTTCTTTCCAACGAAAAATACTAATTTTTCAAATCCATCTAAATATGACAGAGTTATGCCCGAACATATATAAATAAAAAAATACATCTGAATTGAGAACCTACATATTTTTGAAGCCAGTTTAAAAGATCCATTACCTTATTATTTTCCTTGGGTCTCATAAGAGGCGATTTTCCATTCCATTGAAAGATAATTTTGTCTTTAATTTGAAGTAAGATTCGTTTCTTCTTGACGTCTAATGCTTAGTGGTTAAATTTCTAGAATATTTCTGTGTAGTGGCCCGTTAATATGGTCCAATGGCCATGAGCATAACAACAAAATAATATTAAGTATGCTGGTTTGCATATGACATGATTACTTATAAAATGTGACACAGAGTAGCCTCCGCAACACCGTCTTCTGAGTTTGTATAAAAGTATCTATTACAACGAGCCGAATTAATGATGCCCGATTAATAGACTCGTTGAAAAATTGACTTCTTTTATTCTGTTCGAACTACTAGGACCTGCTTTAGTTACCATATTCATTGTTATGTACACATAAGACCTGGCAAACACTCACCTGGGTAATTTCTGAGCTGCCCGACGTTTACCGGCCCGGTGTGATGTATCTTCTGGCCAAATGTGTCCACTATTGTTCTTTTATCCACAGGTCAGGTATGGAAAACTGCCTTAGTATTTGATGGAGCAGGGGAATGAGAACTTATCTACTGTTGGTAACGAAACGCGCACGTAATGTGTACCGTCAAAAACGTTAGTGCTTGCGTTGACGAGGAAGTTGGCCGTTACTAGCGTTCGTTGCGGGTGTAGTTGAAAAAGGGTTCCTAACTTCAAAGTTAAAGAGTGCTTGCCAGTAAGAAAAAATATTTATACGAAATGTTATACGTAAGACGAAATGTTTTCCTTTCAAATTGCACTATTTCTAGTTATAAAATCATACCGAAACATTAATGAAAAAAAAAGAAGAAAAAGATATCAAATACGGAACATTCATTTTAATATTATTTTCAATTAAAGTAAAAGTAAACATCGTAACATCAGGTTTTTGCAGTTAAATCAGTATCTTTAATACCATTGGAGTATTTTACTGGTTGATTTTAGTTTACTTGATTTTATTTTATTTTTCATAAGAAATATCCAACAGTAGAGAATTGTATCTGAAATACACATTTCATTCAAAATGCTACAGTAGTAGCGAGTTCCATTTGACGTTGATGGACAGACTCTGATGAGCATTTAGATAAATTGATCTTTTTTGTCACAATTGAAAAAAAAATTGTTTCTTACCACACATCTACATTAATATATTAAGAAAAATATACTTTATTATGTGTCAGAGATAGTGAGTAGAAAGTTATGAGATGAGAAAGAAAAAAGAGTGATGATATTTCAGGATGAAATCATTAAAATAACTGTAGAACTCGGAAATATGCAAGAACCCCGAATTCATGGAAGACAGCTTTGGTCCACCCGATCCCCAAAAAAGGCGACCGCTCAGACCCGTCCAACTACAGGCCTATTGCCATCACCTCCTTGTTCTCCAAAATAATGGAATCCATTATAAACTGCCAGCTCATGAGGTACCTTGAGGATCACCAGCTGATTAGTGACCGCCAGTACGGTTTTCGTCGAGGTCGATCAGCTGGTGATCTTCTAGTCTATCTGACTCATAGATGGGCGGAGGCAGTAGAGTCCAAGGGGGAGGCATTGGCCATTAGTTTGGACATAGCGAAGGCCTTCGATCGGGTCTGGCACAAAGCGCTTCTTTCGAAGCTTCCTTCCTACGGGCTTCCCGAGAAATTGTGCAAGTGGATCACCAGTTTCCTTGCTGATCGGAGCATCAAGGTCGTAGTAGACGGTGCATGCTCTGATTTCAAGCCTATCAACGCTGGTGTTCCACAAGGCTGCGTGCTATCACCAACGCTGTTTCTCCTGCATATCAATGATATGTTGCTAACTAGTAGCATTCACTGCTATGCAGACGACAGCACTGGTGATGCCTTATATACCGGCCGTGCCAATATTTCTCGGGAAAACTTCGTTGAGTACCGGAACAAACTTGTGTCTGAAGTCGAGTCTTTGCTTAACAAAGTCTCGGAATGGGGCCGACTAAATCTAGTCCAGTTCAATCCCCAGAAGACACAAGTTTGCGCGTTTACCGCTAAAAAGAACCCCTTTGTCGTATTTCCTCAGTTTCAAGGCACTCCCCTTGCTGCCTCAGCTAGTATCGGAATCCTTGGCGTCGACATATCGAATAGTGTGCAGTTTCGTGGTCACTTGTAAGGGAAGGCCAAATTGGCCTCTAAAAAGCTTGGCGTGCTCAGCAGAGCGAGACAGTATTTCATGCCGGCACATCGCTTGCAACTTTACAAAGGGCAAGTTCGGCCCCACATGGAATACTGTTCTCATCTCTGGGCCGGGGCACCCCAGTGCCAGCTCCTTCCACTTGACCGCATCCAGCGCAGAGCGGTTCGAATCGTCGACGACCGAGTTCTTTCTGATCGGCTCGATACACTGGCACTGCGTAGAGATGTTGCATCTCTTTGCGTATTTTATCGCATCTATCACGGGGAGTGCTTGAGGAATTGTTCGGACTAATTCCAGCCGCTCAATTTCACCATCGCACACACCTCTTCTATAAAAAAAAAAACTTATTTTATTGAAAATTACATAGTAGAGTACATGAACCATGAAGTAAAAGTTATGAGAAAGAGAATAGAGAAAAAAATGTTGCCAACATAAGGCACTTAAATTAGCAGTGAAGCCAACAAAAAAATATGAATGGTTGCGTTCTCATTTACTAACACTCCCTGTAAAACTCAATCCCATCTTACTAATTCAGTATAATTGCTTGGCAAGTGTTACACCCTTTGTTAAATTGTCAGCTACCATGTTACAACCATTTACAAATAAAAATTTAACTTTACAATTAACAATATTTTCCCTGAGAAAACTTATATCTATATGTTAAGTCAAATAAAAATTTAACTTTACAATTAACAATATTTTCCCTGAGAAAACTTATATCTATATGTTAAGTCTTAGGTTTATAACAGCCTGTTTATGCTAACCTTATCACACTTTGAATATCACTATAGATAAGCAATGCACGGTCCAGGCCTTGCCCGAGCTCAGCATGTGGTTGCCAAAGCCACTACGCTTCCTGAGTAGCCGAAGCAATCGACATATATTCAGCCTCTGCTGTCGAGAGCGCCACAGTCTGTCATTTACAGGAATTCCAAAATATGGAAGCATTTTTAAAAATAAAAAAGTAACCAGTGCATGATCTTCTATCCTGTGGGTCTCTAGCCTAGCTGCATCACAATACCCAGTTATTTCTTTGTATTCATGTTTGACATAACATAACTTTAGTTTCTGGGTTCCTTGAAGGTATCTCATGACCATTTTCACTCCAAGCCAGTGTTGAATCCCCGGGTCATTACAGCACTGACTCAACTTGTTCACAGCATATGTGATGTCAGGTCGCGCCACTTGTGCCAAATATATTAGACAGCCTACCGCTTCCCTGTATGGGAAATTACTATATTTATTCTCAGGTTTTTTATGAAATTTCATAATTACTTCTATCGGAGTGTGAACTGGTTTGCATGCAGACATACCAAAGCGTTCTAACACTTGGTTTATGTACTGCTCTTGGTCCAACATGATTCCACTTGCCTTACGATCTCTATTTATATTTATGCCAACACACTGCTTTATCTCACCCAGATCTTTCATTAATTAGAACTCTTCTTTATGTTTTACTCTGATACCTGCCACCGATTTCTTGTCATTTGTAAAAATCATGAAGTCATCTACCCATACTGCAATAAAAATCATTTCTTGATTTATTTATGAAATAATAAATGCATGAATCTATTTTTGATATTTTCAATCCGATTTTAAGTACTCAACAAAATTCCTCAAATCCTGTTTATTTACTGTTTATTTCACGCTTTCCTGAAGAAACATACAATAACATAAATGTTACAAAAACATATAATAATACTCGTACTAATATTTTTATGTTTTTTCATATGACGGGAAAAAGTTGAAAAAGCCAGTTACATAACAAGCTTTGTGACTAGTGTCCAACCGAAACAAGATTTTCAACCGAAACCGAAACCGAAAATGAACCTTCGGTCTGGGTATCAGTTTCGGCCGAAACCGAAACTTATTTACACATGTTAATTTTTTTATTGTATACTGAAATCCGGTATATTTTTATACATATACATATAGGTAATGCATGTTAACGAAAAACGGTAATTTTAATAGTCATGTAGCAATATATATATTTATTTTAAAGTAATAATCAACAACGAAGATATCCCGGACGTCAGTCTGAGCGAGATTAGAATGGCTCTCCAGCATCTTAAAAACGGTAAGGCCCCAGGCGAGGATGGAATTACAGCGGAGCTTCTGAAAGCGGGTGGAAAACCGGTACTTGAAGTCCTTCAGAAGCTCTTTAATTCCGTCCTCCATGGTGGCATTACACCGGAGGCGTGGAGCAGAAGTGCGGTGGTCTTGTTCTTCAAGAAAGGTGACAACGCTCTCTTGAAGAACTACAGACCGATTTCCCTTCTGAGCCGCGTCTACGTGCTGTTTTCGAGAGTCATTACGAATCGTCTCGCGCGCAGACTTGACGACTTCCAGCCTCCCGAACAAGCCGGTTTCTGAAAGGGCTTTAGCACCATAGACCACATACATACCTTTCGGAAAATTGTACAGAAGTCGAAAGAGTACAATTTGCCACTATGTCTGGCGTATGTGGACTATGAGAAAGCCTTTGATTCCGTCGAAATTTGGGCGGTGCTGCAGTCCCTTCAGCGGTGCCAAGCTGACTATCGGTATATCGAAGTGTTGAAGTGCTTGTACAGTAGGGCTACGATGGCTATCCGAGTACAGAACCAGAGTACGAAACCTATCCAATTGCAGAGAGGTGTAAGACAGGGTGACGTCATATCCCCGAAACTCTTCACCGCTGCATTGGAAGACGTTTTCAAGCTTCTGGACTGGAAAGGATATGGTATCAACATAAATGGCGAGTACATCACTCACCTTCGATTTGCCGACGATATAGTCCTTATGGCAGAATCGCTGGAGTACCTAAGCACTATGCTCAATGACCTCGATAGTGTTTCCCAACGGATAGGTCTTAAGATGAACATGGACAAAACAAAGATCATGTTCAATGTCCATGTCACACCTATGCCGGTAGTTGTTGGGAGCACTAAGCTCGAAGTTGTTGACGTGTATGTTTACCTGGGACAAATAGTCCGACTAGGTAAGTCCAACTTCGACCGAGAGGTCAATCGACGGATTCAACTCGGCTGGGCAGCGTTCGGGAAGCTACGACACATCTTCTCGTCAGACATACCTCAAAACCTGAAAACGAAATTGTAGAACCAGTGCGTGTTGCCAGTGATGACTTATGGATCTGAGACGTGGTCCTTCACTGCTGGCCGTATGAGGAAGCTCAAGGTCGCTCAGCGAGCTATGGAGAGGGCTATGCTCGGAGTTTCTCTGCGTGATAAACTTAGGAATGAGGATATCCGCAGTAGAACCAGAGTAACCGACATAGCCCAACGGATTAGTAAGCTGAAGTGGCAGTGGGCTGGCCATATAGCTCGAAGAACCGACAACCGATGGGGAAGAAAGGTTCTCGAGTGGCAGCCTCGTACCGGTAGGCGAAGTGTAGGGCGTCCCCCCACGAGATGGAGTGACGACCTGGTAAGACATGCAGGAAGTCGATGGATGCAGGTGGCTCAGGACCGTGCTTTGTGGCACTCTTTGGAGGAGGCCTATGTTCAGTAGTGGACTTGTGAAGGGCTGTAATGATGATGATGATGAATAATCAACAATTTGACGTTAAGAAATACTTTTTAAAGTCCTTAAAACGTTAAGAAATAATTTTGTAAAAAAATCAACACTTATTTATTACGATGTAGAGACATGCTGTAGCTATATTAGAAGTACAGTTGTAGCACGAATGGGTTGGCTTGACCGGGGTAGAACCACGCTCTAACAGAATACCAGCGTAAACTATTTTACGCTGGTATTCTGTGCACAGCACAGCTACTATCAGCTTAACGCTGCTTTGTTTCGTATGGCGAGTGTAGAGAACCGGAAACCTTTTTTACTGGAAAAGAGGCTTTCCATCTTAGTCCCCACGGGTAATAACGCATCTGCGTTTTGATTCCTTATTGAGGATAAATGTGGATGTCTATGGGTCACAGCAACCACTTACCATCAGGTAGACTGTGTGCTCGTTTGTCACTCTATCCTATATAAAAAAAAACTTACACCCACAAAAAGTTACTCGCTAATTGAGAACATATTTTATTGTGTTCACAATATTATATCTTTTCAAAATAGTGTCCATTTACATCAATGCATCGCTGCATCCGATGGAAACACTGAGAAAAGCACTTTGCCCACTCGTCCTTTGGGGTCACTTCGACGACATTTTGAGACGTCCATAAAACGTGTTCCTAGAAATTTTTATTTTATTTTCGGAAATAAATAAAAATCGCAATGTGTGAGGTCGGGGCTTTAGGGCGGGTGACCAAGTAATTCTACGGATGACGTTGCCTGGTAGTGGATTGAAAGGAGTCCCGAACTTTTTCCAAGACAAGTGGCAAAAAATTTTTAGTGAACCACTCTGCAGTAACTGTTTTTCGATCCTATAAAACAATTGTTGTATAATAACCTGTCCTTCCGAAGAACGAGATCACCATCTTCTTTCCCATGCTTCTATCTCTCTTCACTTTTGTTGGCAAATCCTCGGAAGGAAACACCCTGACAGAAGACTGTCTCTTAGTTTCAGGATCATAACAATAAATCCTGCTTTCGTTACCCGTAAGCATGTCGAACACAGCATTTGAGTCACCTCCGTCAAATCTTTGAACCATTTCACGACACCAATCAACACGACGGAGTTTTTGGCCCTCTATCAAATTATGAGGTATCCACCGGGCACAAAGCTTCCTGACCGCTAAATATTCATGGAGAATTTTGTGCACTTGACTCATACCGATGCCTAAGCTTGTCCGAATCTGCTGATAATTCACTCTTTTGTCAGTCTCTATCATACGCCGCACAACACTGATGTTATCTTTAGTGGTCGCAGGCCGTCCCTCACGCAGATCATCGGTGAGATTAGTGCGAACACGTTTATACTCATTAAACCAGTTGTAAACAGTGGCACGAGGTGAGGCTTCATCGTGAAAGGCCAACTCAAGTCTATCATAACTTTTTTGTTGATTTTCTCACGTTAAATTCGAATCGAAACCGAATCTTCGATCGGTCACTATATGTGACATTTCATCTCAGAGCGGAGTGACAACGCATCTGTCGCCTCTTTACCTAATGTTGGTGGCAGGTTTCTGTCCTAATCACCACTCAGTGAATTGTACGTTTTTACTCTAATATTATAAAAAAATATCCCCTGCAGCAAATTGGTTTTAAAGTTTAAACAGTACAAACAACTACAATGGAAATGTTTCAGCTATTAGGTTAATTAGCTAATAGAAGCAAGGTATCGTTAGCAGAGCTTTCTAATAAATGTTTGCGGTGTAATTATCTCACAAAATTATTCACGCGCTAACGACATCATTAGCAATGTAACATAAAATCATGTTGTACTAACATGACCTGGATTGACGTCAATTATTTTAATAACTTTTTCGTATACATATTTAAGAATCGTGTTACTAGATATCGTCGCTGATTGTGAACCGCTTTTATGTTTTTTTTTATTGACTAGACTATATTGTGGGTAATTCTATTTAAATTTAAATACAAATTTTAGACCTTAGGGTAAAAAAGGGGTTGAAGTTTTTAACTATATTATAATATATAGTTAAAGACTTGTGTCATTGTTTAGTACACTCAAAATAAATTTTAAATAGTTCAATAGCTTTTTAAATTGGGGTTATATTACTGCAATGTTTTTTGTCTTAGCACGGCCTTTAGAACCTACTAAAGTCGTTTGTCGCATTAGTAGTAAAATAAGTGGGTTCTATCCGCTTATAGTTTAATGATGTGCTAATGGAGGGATGAGATGTGAATCAGTGAGTAGGAACTATACTAGGTCATAATTCTTCCAATATAATGCTTAAATATAACAATACCTAATATAACTGAGGTAGGTCAAAAGCTTCGATTAAAAATCAAAACGGTTGCATTGTCACTACTGAGAATTAAGATAGAATGCCTCGTTACAAGTAAGAAAGCTGACCATTTCTCTACACTCACCATACGAAATACCAGCTTAAAATAGCAGTGCAATGCTGCATTACGCTGCTATTTTAAGCTGGTATTCTGATAGTTTGTGGTATTTTTCCGGTCGAACCAACTCAATCATGCTGTAACCATAACAAGCTGCAGTGTGATTCTACCTCGTACCATAATGTACGTACCTAGTATCCTAAGCAATAAGAACAAACCCAAAGAAAAAGTAATTTGTGATTTTGAACTACTATTGATTCAGTCTATTTGATTCTAATGCATGACCAGCAGGTTTCTTAATAGAGAAGCTTTCCACGAACATCCAGAAACAGCTTTAGGTTACTGCCTAAATAACTTAATACACCTCTAAATTGTGTTTCTATAATATCGCAGTTTGATTGAGTTTTGTAGACTCACTTGTTTATCACTTTTAATAATGTTTATTTTATTTTAAAAAGTAAAGCTTGGTATTAAAACGAAATTGCAAGTTTATCAGTAATATGTAA